ACCAATCCAGCCTGGGACGTGCCAGGAATTCCCTTTATAAACACCCAATCCCGTGGCTGTCCCAAAAGCTGGAATTCCGAGTTTCCCCAGCAGCCTGGGGGTTATTTATAGCAGGAATAAGAGTTGGTGTTTTCCTTCTCCAGGAAACTTGGGAAGGGGACAGATGACCTCAGTGTGAAGCGATGGGATTTTGTGGATTTCTGTGGGAATCTGGAGCGGGATTAGCACCTCTCCTCCATTCCCGGGCGGGCTGGCAGCTGCCCGAGCAGGGAAGGAACCCTGGGAAGCAAAGAGCTCCAAAATTCCAAAATTCCCTGCCAGCCCCGGATCCGGAGCCAGCTGCCAAAACTCCTCTTATTCCAGGCATGAGGAGCGGGATAACGGGAACAGGAGTGGTGGGAATGGGATGGGAGCACCCCCGGGCAGCCTTTCCCTTGGAAAGGGATCTGGTATTTATGGGATCAGCTCTTCCTGCTCAGTGGCAGAGATCCCTGCTTTTCCCAGAGATATTAACACAGGAATGGGTTTGGATCCGGCCCTTGCTGTGGATTTCCAGGTGAGACCCTCTGGGAATTCATTGCTTTAGGAAAAACCAGGATGTGGCATGGAAATAGAAGCAGGAATTGCTGCTGGGGGAATGGTTGAGATGATGACCACAAAGGGCTTTTCCAACCTAAACCATTCCAGGATTTTCCTCCTCCTATCCCAGGGATATTAGGACAGGAATAAGTTTAGATCTACCTCCATCCATCCCGCATCCTCCAGCATTCCTTCTTCTCCAGGTGTTCCCAAATTCTCCTCCAGCATCCCAGTCATGGAATTGGTGCAAGGCTGGAGGACTTTTCCCTCTGGATTTTTCCTCAGGATTTTTCCTTGGGATTTCTTCCTCCAGATTTCTTCCTGAGGATTTCTTCCTCGGGATTTCTTCCTCGGGATTCTTCCTCAGGATTTCTTCTTTGGGATTTTTCCTCAGGATTTTTCCTCCGGATTTCTTCCTCAGGATTTTTCCTCCGGATTTTCCCCTGGATTTCTCCTCGGGGTTTTCATCGGGCTCTCGGCAGCAGCGGGATGTACTGGATGAGGCTGATTCCCTGAGCTCCTCTGCTCCCTCCCTTTCCCACGCAAGGAGGGATTCCGGGAGCTCTCATCTCCAGGATTTTCAGCCCAGAAGGGCGCTTTGCTCCCGTTTTTCCAGCTGCTGCCATTTGGAGTGCCCGTGTTGGTTGCAGTTCCGTGGATAATGCCTTTGGAGCAGCGCTCCTTCAGAGAATCCAGCAGGGCCATCTGTGATTTTCCGCTCTTGGATGGATAATTAGATTCGAGTGCAGGGTGGGCTCGGGGCTGGAATTTTTTCCGTGCCTGGAAACACCGAGGAGCTCACAGGCAGGCTCCAGGAGGATTCCAGGCAGGAATGGAGCCATTCCCACCTGGGCAGGGAGCACTTGGTCCCTCTGGAATTTGTCAGTCCTGGGAAGGAACCTCATTTTCCCTCCCCTGCTTGATCCCGTATTTTAAAATGTCCCTTCCAGAGCTGCAGAATATCCTGGATTTCCTTTGGATCTGTGAGGATCCCTCAGGGTAGCCCAGAATCCCAAGGATTCATTAAACACGGGATAATGGGGGCATTTCTGGTGAAAATTGGGATTGTTCATCCTGGAGAAGGGAAGGATCCAGGGAGACCTTGGAGCAGCTTCCAAGAGGCTCCAGGAGAGCTGGAGGAGGAACTTGGGATGAGGGATGGAGGGACAGGACACAGGGAATGGTTCACATTGGAAAAAGGGGGATTTGGGTGGGATTTTGGGAAGGAATTCCTGGCTGGGAGGGTGGGGAGGGGCTGGGATGGAATTCCCAGAGAATCTGTGGCTGTCCTGGATCCCTGGAATGTCCCAGGATGGATGGCTCTCACATTCCCCTCCTGGGGCACCTGGCAGAGCCAGAGGTTGAGTTTTCCATGGCTGCACCTTCCCAAGAACATTCCCTTAACATTATCCCGGGGTAAGCCAACAAATCCAGGAAAATCCCCGCATTTCCCCACGTTTCCTGCCCCTTTGGAGCCGGCGGCGCGCGGGGCTGGGCGGATGCAGGGGTGGGCTGAGAGCGGGGCCGGATCCTCGGGATGCTGGCAGCTCTGCTCCCATCAATCTTCCCAGGATCTCCACGGCCTCCGTGCCAGCTGCTTCCCTGGATCCAGCCCCTTTTCCGTGCAGTAGCCTGGGAAAATATTGAACCCGTGCCCAGAGCAACACCAGGATATGAAGGGGAAAACTTTAAGATGTTTTGTAACTCCTTTTTTTTTCTTTTTTTTTTTTTTCCCCAGGACCTGCCAACTCTTAATTTTTCCAGTTTGGAATAAGGGCCTCGGATCCATCTGTTTGCTGTCAACTGATGTTTGTTTGGAAAGGGATTTTATGGATTTTTTCCAGCTCGCACTCCTGTTCTTCCACCCAGTTTACTGAGCTCCATAAATGTCGGCTCTGGCAGTTTTTTTTGGGGAAGTTTTGATTTAGGATTTAATCAAAATGGAGCCGTCAGTGTCTTTAATCAATGGGAATGGAGATCAAAACCAAAGGAATGGGAGTGAGGAATGAAATATTTAATGGATCCCTTTGAAAGTGCCTGATTCCCGACCTAATGGCTACCAGGGATCATTAGGACAAACTTCCCCCCCCAAAAAAATAACCTCCAAAAACTGCTTGACGTGGTTTTTAAAGATAAAAAGGAGAAAGCAATTTAAAGCTTAAAAGCAATTCCAGCCTTTTATCCCATTAAATATTAAAAATAAAGCAGCGCCAGCGGCTCCGGGGCTGCCGAGCTCCCAGGGACAGGGACTGGTGTCCAAAGATCCCTGTGCTCATCCTGGTCTGGGCTGTGGGGATGGGAAGGTGCGTGCCCACACTGGGCTGTGCTCCCCATGGGGTGGTGGCACCGGCATTCCCTGCCCGTTGGGATGCAGGGATTTAATGTGGAAATGAAGCAGGGGAAGGTGGGAGGTGCAGCCATGGCTCCCCTGGCACCGCTCCATCCTCCACCCCTCCATCCCTCCATCCCTTCATCCTCCAATCCTCCACATCCCAAAAATCCTCTCGGGGGCCCCCTGCTGGCGCATTCCTGGTGCGCGCCCACGGTCATGGACACGGAAAATCCTGGAACCATCCCTCCATCCCTTCATCCTCCAATCCTCCACATCCCAAAAATCCTCTCGGGCGCCCCCTGCGGGCGCATTCCTGGTGCGCGCCCATGGTCATGGACACGGAAAATCCTGGAATGGTTTGGGTGGGAAAGGACCTTGAATCCCATCCCATCCCATCCCATCCCATCCCATCCCATCCCATCCCATCCCATCCCATCCCATCCCATCCAGCTCCGTGGCCTCCTCTGGAATTGCTCCAGCAGCTCCATGACCTCCTGGTGTAGGATCTAGAGCTGGAGGTGTCACCTGAGGGAGCAGAGGGGGACAATTCCCCATTCCAGCTTCCCACACTGTGGGATGATCCCAGCAGATCCTCTGGGAGTCAGCGCTGCTGGAGGCCCCTCCTGCTTCCAGAGCCCTCCGGAATGACAGGGATGGAGGGTTTGGGATGAGCTCGATGCCACCTCGTCCCCTCAGATGCCACCAACCCCCTGGAGGCGCTGCCCCAGAGCCCTGTCCTGGGCACAGCCACTCCGGGGGTCCTTCCAGCTCCACCTCCCGCTGCATCCCAGGGAATGGAGGGAAGCTGCTCCCCAGGATCCCTCCTCTGCATTCCCGTGGATAAAATCGGGATCGTGGCACACCTGTGGCTTCAAGGAGCAGCTCCCTGAGCCTCCTTCCGGCACGGCTGCGTTTTTAATCACCTTTTTTAATTTAATTTTCAGCCTCTTTCTTCTCCTCTTTCTTCTCCTGGCGTTTTTATCTCCACTTTGGATGCACAAATCCCGACTATTTTGTTCCCGGAGTCAGCGGGATGATCAAGGGGTTTGCAGCCTCCTGAATTATTCAGGATATCGGAGCTCCTCACTAAATATTTTTGCTTCCAGCCTGTCAGGGAGAAGATCACAGGAATATTTTGTTCATTCCAAGATCTCTCTCCGAGCGTTGGTGACGGGCAGAGCGCTCCCATTTCCAAAGGTGCTCGTTAAGGGAGGGGCTCGTCATTAATTAGAGCAGGAGCAATGCCATCGTCACCCCCAAGGTGGCTCTGGGGACATTGGCATGGCTGGGAATCTTCTCCAGGGCTTGGAGAGGGAACTGTGCTGGCGCTGTTGGATCGGGATGGGTGGTGGGAAGTCACCCCACGTGTCACCTGTCCCCAGACCAGGGGACACCGGTGGCTCTCAGCTCAGCAGTCCCTCATTCCTGGGAGGGATGGGATCCCAAAATCCCAGAATAGGTGGGGTTGGAAGCGACCCCAGGGCAGGTGACACAGGGACACATCCAGGCGGGTTTGGAATGGCTCTGGAGAGGGGGACAATGGCACGGCCTTGGTGGGATGATGGCACATCCCTGGTGGAACGATGGTGTGTTCCTGGTGGGACGGTGGCGCGTCCCTGGTGGGACAATGATGTGTCCCCAGTGGGATAATGACATGTCCCTTGTGGGATAATGGCATGTCCCTTGTGGGGAGGGTGGCATCTCCTTGGAGGGACAATGACATGTCCCTGGTGGGATTTGGTGGGGCACATTCCTGGCGGGACAATGGAATGTCTTTGGTGGGACATTGGAATGTCCTTGGTGGGACAATGACAATCCCCGGAGCTACCGCCACACCCCACCAGTGCCTGGCACTTCCCACGGATATTTTTTGGGATTTGTGGTGTTTTTTCCCAAACCATCCCAGCCCAGACCGCTCTGAGATCTCCGAGGTTCAACCTGCTCCCCGTTCCTCCGGAGAGGCTCCGCGGCTCCGCTTCCCGGCGCTCCGTTTCCACGCGCGGCATTCCGGGGCTCCACATTGCCGCCATTATCCGACCTCTTCTTGTGGTTACATCATAAAAATTCCTCGGATCCTGGAAGCGGCCCGGGAATATTTGCATATGTATATCCTTCGTTTTCACAGCACAGCCTGGCTGCCAGATGGGAAAACCGACGGAGCCTCCAACATTTATCCGCGACTCCGCCGCTTTCCTGTGCCGGGAACCGCGGCGGAAGAGAGGTGGTTTTCCAACCCTGGGATACTTCCACGGGGATCGGGGAAAAGGGGAGGGGAAGCCACACGGAATTAATTAAGGGCCGGTTCCCAAAGTTTAGCCGTGCGGAAAAGATTCCTTTGTGCACCCTTGGAAAAACGGGATCGTGGCTCCAGAAATCCCTTTTTCCTTGGATTTCACCCCATGTCCTGCACACGGATTGGGTGCCCTGAACCCCATGGCCCACATCAGGATTTATCCCAAAGAACCGGAGAGGGTTTGGGGGGGAAACACTTTTCCTTGGGAGCACAGGACAGGAATTCAGGTTTTTAAATTTCTTTCCAAGCCCGCATTTCATTGTTTGGGGTATAATAGTGTTTTTTGGAATATAAGGATGTTTTTGGGATTTAAGGGTGATTTTTTAAGTGTATGAAGTTGGGATGTTACGATATAATGATGCTTTTGGGGGTATAATGGTGCTTTTCGGGATGTAATGATTTTTTGGGGATATAATGATTTTTTTTGTGCTATAATGATGCTTTCTAGGGTGTAATGATGGTATTTAGGGTACAGTGATGGTTTTTAGGGTGCAGTGATTTTTATGGGGGTATAAGGATGAGTTTAGGATGTGGTGATGATTTTTAATGTGAAATTATGGGGTTTAGGGTACAATGATATTCTTTAGGGTACAGTGATACCTTTTAGGGTGCAATGCCAATATTTTGGAGTGTAGCAATGATTTTTTTGGGAGCGTCTAATTTTTTTTTAGTGTAATGATGCATTTTAGGACTTTCAGAGTGTAAAGCTCCTTCTGGGGCGCAATGATTTTTTAAAGTGCCACAATGTCATTTTGGGGGCGCATTGAGGAACACAATGGATTTTTTTTGATACAATGATAATTTTTGGGATCTAAAAGTGTTGCCCCACGTCCCTAAGACAGTCTGGGATCTCTTCCATGTCGGAGAGCTTGTAAGGGATTAATCACCCACTCTAATTATTTTGGAACATCCCAAATTATCCGGGCAGAACAGCAGGAAAACAACGCGACGGCGTCTTCCAAGCAGAGCCTCAGTCCAGGAATCCGTCAACTGCTCATTCCTTAAAGCTCTGACAGCAAAAAGTGGGATCCAAACGTCCCTAAATGATTCCCGATGACGCGCAACGGGAATTTTCCGGCATTATTCCGGAAATGTAACGACAAGGGCGCTTCCGCTGGGATTAATTGGCTCCTAAGTGGTTGCATGTGTTGTGTTTGGAGTGCTGGATCCCAGGCTTGGAGTGCACTGGAGGCGGGAATTCCGGGCTCGGGGAAGGGATTGATCTGGCTCCAAAGGGCTTTCCAAGATTGGGATTGGAGCATCCAATGAATAGGCTGAAAAAAAATTTAAAATATGTTTTTAAGGAAAAAGTGGGTTTTGGTATTTTTTTCCCTAAAAATGCAAGCTGGATTTTTAAAGCAAATTCCAGATTTTATTTTGATTTTTTTTTAAATTTTTTAGGATTTTTCCGGGATTGTGGAGCCATCCAGGATCTGTAAATGCAGGAGCACCAGGAATTCACCTGCCAAATTCTGCTGGAAGGTGAGGAGATGGGAAGGTTCAGGAAGCCAAGAACAACAACAAGGAATTGATGGAAATTCTGGGAGGATGAGGAATCCATGATGATCCATGAAATCCTGGAGGGCCAGTAAAAAAAGGGGAAAGCAGGGATGTGAATCGCTTTGGGACCATCCCAAAGCTGCTGGAAATGCAGCAGTGAAGCAAGTTTGATGGAAATCTCTGGAAATATTCCAGACTGGATGGGGCTTGGAGCAGTCTGGAATAGTGGGATGTGTCCCTGTCCTGGAAGGGGTGGGATCAGCTTTAAAATCCCAACCCAAACCATTCCAGGATTCTCTGCGATCCCATCCCACAGAAAAATGGGATGCTTGCTGTGCCCTGTGCTGTCCACAGGCTGTCCCTGTGCCCAGGAATTCCCAGCTCGGAGGGATGGGTGGGGAGGTTTTGGAAGGAAGAAGCAGCTGCCAGGCTGGAAAGGGACACACAGCAGTGGCTGATCCGTGCCATCCATGGCCCTTCCCGCTGGGATGGGAGCGCTCCCGGGGACAGGGCATTCCTGGTGTCCTTGAGGGGACAGGATCCTCCTGCAGCTGTCCCAGTGCCAGGGCCAGAGCCATCCATGCCTGCTGTGTTCCCAATGGATCCTCGGGAGCTGCTCCCGAGATTTTCCACCCGATCCCAACGACGTTCCTGGGGCTGGGAACAGGGACACTTTGCACCCACTTTATTTATATCCCGTGGTTTTTTCCTGGCTGAGGGAGAGGATAGCTCTTCCCTGCTGAATTCCGTGGCTTTGTGCTCCATTGGATTTGAAATAGCACAGGGAATAATGGGAGTCTTTGGTTGGATGGGCCGAGGCTGGATCCGACCTTGAGTCCGTGCTCTCCTGACTTTGGAACTCCAGAGGGACACGGAACGTTGCCTTTCCCCCTTTTTTTTTTTCCCTTTTTAAACAAGAGATAAATCCCTGGAGCCCTGGAGCAGGAATTGCAGCCGTGGCTCCCGTGATCCGTGAGGAGTTTTCACAGCTTTCCTTTCAGCTGGAAAATTGCTCCAGCCGGCTGTGACGGGCTCGGGGAGGGGCTGAAGCTGCCTCATCCCGTCCTTCCCCGGGCACCTGGGTGAGCAGGGACATCTTCTGGCACAATCCCTTCAGGAACTGAAGCTCTCCCTGCTGGGAGTGCTGAGGATGGATTTGGGATCATTTGGGATGAGCAGGTGTGGCTCAGCAGAGCTCTGGGAATATTGGGAATATTAACAAGAGCGTCACAGAGTTACTTGAATATTTCCTGATTTTTTATTTTTTTTTTTTGGGATGCGGTGATTTCCAGCTGGAGTTTTGGAGGCAGGAAGGGCCTGGCAGAGGAGCTCATCCACCACTTTTGGGAACTTTTGGAGGCTTTGGAAATCCTTTTAGTGCTGAGGGGGTAAGAAAAAAGCCCTGGCACAGGACCAGCACCTTCCAAATCCTGATGGAAACCAGAGCAAATCCCACTCCCTCCTCTCGTTTTCCTCTTAAAATCTGGATCTTTGGGTTTTCTGGATGGCCAAAAAAAAAAAAAAGCTGGAAAGCTGGGATGGACTAAAAACCAGGAGCAATGGCAAACTCTCCTGGGAGATGGAAAAGAGCAGCTCAGGGGAAATGGGATGGATTTTCTCTGCAGCCCCAGGAATGCTGCGGCCCTTTCCAAATGTCTTTTTTGAAGTGGATTTTATATTTGAATCCCAAATTTCCTGAGGTTGGGAAAGATTTCCAGATTTGTTGAGTCCAGCCTGTGATGGATCAACATCGTTTCAGCCAGCCCAGAGCCCTGAGTGCCACATCCAGGAATTCCTTGGAGACCTCTGGGGATGGGGACTCCAAACCTCCCTGGGCAATTCCAGTGTTTAACAACCCTTTCCATGAGGAAATTCCTGCTGATGTCCAGCCTGAACCTCCCCTGGAGCAGGCTGAGGCCATTCCCTCTCTTCCTGTTGCTGTTTGCCTGGGAAAAGAGGCTGAATATATTTGGGAATGGACTTTAGTGGGGCTTTTCCTGTGTTTTCCCATGTGAGGCTCATTGCCCGTGGGAGTGAGGGGATGCAATCCCATGGGTCCCCTGGGATTTGTATTTGGGCTCTTTTGGGTCACAGAAATCCCAAACTTTCCGACATCCGTAGGAAATTTTTCCCCTGGCTGGAGTTTGCCTTCCCACAGGCAAGGCTGAGGGGAGGAGTCCCCACCTGAGCTGCCCACGGGGTGACAGGGACACGGATCCCATCCCCATTCCCAGCTGGAAGAGCCAATCCCTGCTGGCTCTGCAGCCAAGGAAACCTCCTTCCAGGGAAACCTCAGTTCCAAGGAAATCTCCCTTTCCCTGCCCGTTCCAGGGGCAGTTTCCACCTCACTCTGGCAAAGTGGAGCCAAACTCCATTTGTTGGATCCATTTGATCCATGCTGGGAGCCGGATCTTGGGAGCCATTCCCGGTGTTCCAGCCCCTTCCCGGCAGGGAGCAGCTGGATCTCTCCCTGCTGGCTCCAGGTCTCTCCCTGCTCCAGCTCCAGGAAGGAACGCGCTCCGGAGCCCTTCTAATGAAGATCTCCCTGGAGCTGACAGTGGGGATGGCTGGAATGTGGAGCTGCAGCTCCGTGCCTCAGCTGTTTCCTTTCGAGCTGTCACTGGAAAATTCCAGAGGCTGACATTGATATTTTTAACGTGGCAGCGCTGAGGGAGAGAGATCTGGATTATCCCAACCCACCTTGGGCTGGGAGCAGGGATGAGACGGGGCTGCTGCTCCCGGAGCTTCCCCTGGTGCTGTGAGAGGCCTGAGCCATTCCCAGCCCCCAAAAACTGTCCTGCACCTCCCAAATCCCAGCTCCCCGGCAAGGTGAAGGTCTGGAGTGACTTGAGCAACTCATGCTGGGCTCATTCCCGACAGGAAAGGGGGGATTGTCCCCGCTCTGTCCACCTGCAGAGCTGCTCCAGCCCTGGATCCCGGCACCAGCAGGACCTGGAGCTGCTGGAGCAATTCCAGAGGAGGCCACGGAGCAGCTCCAGGGCTGGAGCCCCTCTGGAGCCAGGCTGGGAGAGCTGGGAATGTTCACCTGGAAGGGGAAGGATCCAGGGATCCCTGGCAGGGCCTAAAGGGGCTCTAGGAGAGCTGGAGAGGGACTAGGACAAGGGATGGAGGGACAGGACACAGGGAATGGCTGCCACTGCCAGAGGGCAGGGCTGGAGGGGAGATTGGGAATTGGGAATTGTTCCCTGCGAGGGTGGGCAGGGGCTGGGCTGGAATTCCCAGAGCAGCTGTGGCTGCCCCTGGATCCCTGGAAGTGTCCAAGGGTTTGGAGCAGCCTGGGACAATGGAAGGTGTCCCTGCCCATGGCAAGGGTGGGATGGGATGGGATTTAAGGTCCCTTCCTTAAATCCATCCCAGGATTCCGGGATCCTGTACCTGAGGCCGTGCTCGGACAGCCGGGATTGAGTTGTCTCGGGATCCTTTGGGAGCAGCTCCAGCCATGGTGCCACAACCCGACCTGGGGGTGCCACCAGCGAAAATAAATCTGCCTAATCCCGAGGAATGAGCGGGAACAGCAGCAGCTCCAGGGAGATTAGGATCGAGTTTTGCGTTACAGCACTTGGAAGGGCCGGGATTTACTTGGAAACCGAATCCCGTTAATTAGCATTCTGCTAATGGCAGACCCGGATAAATATAGCGTTCCCTAATCCCAGCGCGAGGCGCAGGTTGACATATTTAGATCGTTGATATCAAAGTCATTAACGCCTCTCCGTGGGAATCCTATTCCCAGGCGGGGCTGGATCGGGGTTCTCGGGGCCGATCAATCTTCCCAACGCCCCAGCAGGGCCGCGGCTCCCCAGCCACCGGCTGGACGCGCTTCCCAGAAATGCGCTTGCATCTGTCAGAATTCCAGCGGGCGGGCGCAGCCAAAGGTCAGCTCGGCTCCCAGTGGGAAAATGGGATCCCGGGAGAGGCAGCGCCGCCGTATCCATCGGGATGAGCCCCCCGGCCGGGTGCGTGTCCCCTCCTCGGGCACGTGGTGGGGGTAAATTTATCCGGAGCGTTCCGGCGGTCCTGGAACTTCGCCAGGGTTCAGTGAACTCCAGCGACTTCAAAGGGCTGCTGGAGTTCGGGAATTTGGAGAGCTTAATGATTATTTGGTGCTAATTAACCCCTTGTTTAGGGGTGGTTATTGGTCTGATTAAGCTCCCCACCCCAAGTGACAGCAGGAGAAGGGAACACATTCCTATAAAACCTGAGAGGAGGGAATTCCAGCATGGAAGGAGCATGGGATTGGGGCCATTCCTGAGAACCCACTGTGTGTATTCTTCGTGGAATTATTGATGGGATCTTAGAAGGAGCTGGGAGGTTTCATTCCTCGTAAAAGCTGCACTTGGCTCATGGATTGGGAATAACACTTATCTCATGGATGGAGCCAGACGTGTGTCAGCCACATTCCAGGGGCACGGATTCCCCAGCATTATTCCCACCTCCAATTTTGTGGGGGGTTTAAGCCAGCCTTGAAACCCCAAAGCAGATGCAGGTGGCAGCCAAAGGATTTTGGAATGTTCTCAATCCATAAAATCATGAAATAAATAGGGAAAGAGCCTGAGAAGCTGCAGGAAAACTTGGGATCAGGATTGGGAAATGCAGTTGATGGGAACAAAATTTTTTTTTGTTTTTTGGTTTTTTTTTTCATTTAGAAAGGAGGTGTGGGGGTGGAAAAATTCCCGATCCTAAAAATGGCCGGGGTGATTTGTTCCTGAGAGCTGGGCAGCTGGAGGCAGCTTTGGATGGAATCCTCCTCCCAGGCAAAGGGAAGCAGAGGAAAAGACTCTCCAAGGAGAAAAATCTTTAATGAGCTGCGAAGCCTTGATCACCCACGGAGAGCCGAGATTAATTAGGAGCTGCTGAAAGCCGAGCTCAATTAGGAGCTTAAGCCGCTCCCGAGGTGTGGGCCGGGATTGCCGCTGGATTCCCTCCCGTGGATTCCCCGGGATCCAGGAGAAGGAGGCTGTGCCCACCAAAACCTGGCCCCTCCAGGTGTCCCAGCTCCTCCAGGTATTCCGTGTCCCTTTGGAATGTGGTGCCCGCGTGGCCGGGAATGAGGCTGGGGAAGGGGAATGCTCTGGAGGAGAGCCTGCCTTGGATTCCCTGCTGGATTTCCACGTTTCCAGCGTTCTCAGGGCTTCCCTGCCTGTCCGAGCCCATCCTGGCTCCATCCTCAGCATCATCCCAGGTCCTGGGGTGAGATCCCGGTGCCTGTGAGGGCTCCATCAGGATCTGGGATCCCTGGGAGGGAGGAGCAGAGCCTGGATATCCCTGTGGATCCAGGGGCTCCTCCCAGGTTCCTCTCAGTGGTGGAGGGATGGGTTTGGGTGGCCACAACATCCCAGACCACAAATTCCCTGTTCTTTGAAGGGAATTATGGAATCCTGGAATGGTTTGGGTGGGAAGGGATCTCAAAGCCGGTCTGGTGTCCTCCCTGCCATGGCAGGGACACATCCCACTGTCCCAGGCTGCTCCAAACACAATCCATCTCGGCCTTGGATGCTTCCAGAGATCCAGAGGCAGCCACAGCTGCTCTGGGAATTCCATCCCAGGCCCTGCCACCCTCCCAGGGAACAATCCCTTCCCAATCTCCCCTCCATCCCTGCCCTCTGGCAGTGGCAGCCATTCCCTGTGTCCTGTCCCTCCATCCCTTGTCCCAGTCCCTCTCCAGCTCTCCTGGAGCCCCTTCAGGCCCTGGAAGGGCTCTGAGCTCTCTCTGGATCATTCCCTTTTCCAGAGCCTCTCCACCCTTGCAGGGAGGGATTCCTTCCCTATTTCCAGCCTAAACTTCCCCTCTTTCACTCTGAACCCACTCCAGCTCCCAAGGAAACTTCCAGGATGTTTCCCAAGCCCTCCCCGTTCCCAGATCTCCCCCACGTGCGCAACCTAATAACGAGCACTCACCAAACATCCTAAACCCAGGAAATTTATGGAGCATGACCCAAATTGAATTCTCCATTACAGCAGGATAATTGATTTTTTAGAAGAGAGATTAAATTTATTTTCCGCCTCACTAACGAACAGCCAGATTTCCCTTAATTGCTTGGAATGCAGAGTTGGGATGATTCATTAAAGCCGGAACATGCCTGGGTACATTACACTGTGACTAAAGCTTCCCTGCTTGGAGCAATTAAAGTGGAGAAATTTGGGATCTCGCAAGGAGCTGAATAAAAATTCCAGCTCGGGATGTCTTATTAATCTCCTCAAGGAAAAACTCACAAATTCCCCCCGTTCTCCACGAAATGATTTGGTGATTTTTATTTTTTTTCCCCCTGCCTGGCGTTGTTTTCTCCCCGTGCCAGCCCTAAAAAGAAGTGGTGTCTACGAGACAGATTTCGTGCCTCGCTTCACAGTTTAATTTTATCAATCACAACA